AAATTACTCAAAGAAGACAAGAGACGTGCTGGACAGAAAGTTTGTTTGTGATAAGGAGGGTTATAGATCTAATAGAGACAAGATGGAGATGCCTTTTCGGCGAGAGACCCGAGTGGGATGTAAGGCAATGATGAGAGTTAAAGTATTGGAGGACAAATCGTGGGAGGTCACGGGGTTTGTTGAAGAACATACAAATCATGTGTTGAGTAGTCCAGACAAAGCAAAGATGCACAGATCACACCAACAATTCCATAAATCTCAAAGTTGTAAAAGACTTATTGAGAGTCTGCAAGAAGAAGGTATGCCTCCATCCACTATTTCTCGCGTCATTAACGCAACCACTGGAAGAGAAGGCGAATTAGTGACACCACAACAGTGTATTGATCACATCAGATACCAGAGAGTCAACAATATTGGCCATGAATGCATATCTATCATAAAACATTTTCAGAGTTTGACAGCGAATGATCCAGAATTCTATTTTGCAATAGAAGTGGACAGTAGTGGACAAATGAGGAGTGTTTTCTGGGCTGACGGAAGATCAAGAGCGTCTTATTTGCAATTTAGTGATGTTGTTGTGTTTGATGTGACATACAGAACTAATAAGTTCAGTCTTCCATTTGCTCCATTTACTGGTGTGAATCATCATAGACAGTCCACTTTACTTGGTTGTGCATTATTAGCTGATGAACAAGAAGATACCTTTGTGTGGTTATTTGAAGAATGGCTGAAATGCATGCATGGCGTTGAACCAGGGGCTATTATAACAGATCAGGATAGAGCCATGTGTAATGCTATTCACTCCGTATTTCCAATGACAAGACATCGTTATTGTTTTTGGCACATGCAAAAACACATTACTGATCATTTGCCTACTTTGGTTTCTCGTTATGGTGAACAGTTTCAAAGGTATTGGGGCTTATGGTGTAATAGTTCTTCAATTGAACAGTGTGAAGGATATTGGCTAGAGATGAAGGAGAAGTTTGATATAAATGAAGAAGGGGATGGATGGTTGCAAAATGTTTACAAATATCGAGAACATTGGGTGTCATGTTATTTGAAGGACACTTTTTTTGCTGGAATGAGATCGAGCCAAAGAAGTAAAAGTATTAATGCATTTTTTGATGGGTATGTTAACTCACAGACTCAATTACAAGAGTTTGATACAATATGAAAAAGCAGTAACTCATCGTCACTTAAGTGAAGCCCATGAAGATTTTACGAGTCTTAACACAAAGCCTGTCATGTTCTTTGGACATCCAATTAAGGTCCAAGTTGGAGAAATGTATACACGCAATATGTTTGTTGTGTTCCAAACTGAATTCAAAGGATTTGCTACAGAGTTTTGTGAAGAATTGAGCAAAGATGGGAACCTTTTGTTCTGTTTTTCACCCAACCAGGAATCCCATAGACGCAATCAAGCAAGCAACAACCAGTTATAGCATCAAACGAACAGAAGCCCTAAAATCAATTTCACCTAAAATCAAGTTGAAGAGGGAAATGGGGGAGGCGGGATAATACCTCTGAGCGGGAAATGGAGGAGGCGGTGTTTCACTTCAAATCTGGGGTCACGAACGCCGGAGAAGGGGGTCACGAACGCCGGAGAAGGGGGTCACGAGCGTCGGTGCTGTGAGCTGCTCGGTCGGGGATCTGAGAGGGGGTCTCGCCGTCGGTGCTATGAGCTGCTCGGTCTGGGGTCACGAACGCCGGAGAAGGTCTCGCCGTCGGTGCTGTGAGCTGCTCGGTCGGGGATCTGAGAGGGGGCGGCGATCTCGTGCTCGAGCGAGGCTTCGTGGTCGGGGATCTGATAGAGGGGCGGCGATCTCGTGCTCGAGCGATCTCGTGCTCGTGGTCAAGGCTTTGATCGAGATCGACGATTGGAGGAGGAGTAGGCTGAGAAATGGGGGAAGATGGCCAATTTTGGGGATTTAGGGCTCTCGATGTTGGTTTTAAGTTATATAAACTGAACCTAATATCCTAGACGGTAATTTCCGTCTGCAATTACAGAGGGAAAGAAGGAAAAAAAACACACGATAGGCCTGTAGAATGAGCTAAGTAAAGAGGAGGATGGTAAGGAGCGAACGACGTAGTTTACAGAGGGAAAGAAGGAAAAAAAACACACGATAGGCCTGTAGAATGAGCTAAGTAAAGAGGAGGATGGTAAGGAGCGAACCTTGTCGTCACCTACCCAACTCTCCTTACTTAAATCCCTCTACCAGGACCCGAGAAAACCATAAAAACACACTGACTGATAGTACACACCACAATAGTGTAGGTTCACAAAAAAGCTACAGACCCAGAGTCGTACACAGAACTGACACACATCTTCTGAGAGACTAGGGAGTGAGAAGCTTCACCAGCAAAAGGAGAAGAAAGACTGCCTTCCAAAACGAAGAGAAGAGAATCAGCGAGCATTAGAGAAGTTGTCGTCGTAGTCTCCTTCGATGTTGGACTTAACAAGGTCCTGCAGCTTTAAATTTTGAGCAGCCCTTCGAGTGCGTATCGCCACTCTCTCATCTTCTGCTCCTGTCCAAAACAAGACAAATCTTGCAATGTTAGCAGCTATGAGGGTAGGGTTAGCAATGACATCTCTGAAAATAAGCTGATTTCTACAATGCCACATTCTCCAGCAGAAACTTAGCAACAGATATTTCCAAATAATTCTGATGTCAGAGCAAGTGTTATGGTCTGTGTGCATGCAAATCAAACCCTCCATGGAGCGAGGCCATCTGGTGATGGGGGCGAGAGGGAGGAGAGAGGACCAGACTGATTGTGCAAAAGCGCAAGTAATAAATAAGTGGTCTTGCGATTCGACATCCTGCATACAAAATGGGCAACGAGGGTCCTCATTCCAGCCCTTAGAGATCAGGTTAGCTCTGGTATTAAACTTATTTTTGGAGATAATCCAGAATAGAACATTAACTTTCAGGGGGATGATAGACTTCCAGATGAATTTATGATAGGGAGATAAAGTCCCCCCATAATTGATGATGGCATATAAGGATTTAACAGTGAAAGCTCCAGATGGATGGTAAGGCCACCATAGACTGTCGTGGGATGGAGATAGGGCAGCATGGAGAGAGTCTAGGTGAGCATATAGCTTGGTAGTGTCGCATATATCCACAGCAGAAATACCCCTCCTGAGGATAGGGTGCCATTTCCAAACTGTGTTGCACTTATAGCCTTGAGATCTTACTGAACAACTTCTAGAAAAAGCAAGTTGGCATGCTAAAGGGAAAAGACTGCTAAGAGAATTTGCATTAGTCCACTTATCATACCAAAAACTGCATGTCTTGCCATCTCCCACCTGCCATCTCACCAAACTAAAGAAGGTAGAGTGGATCATTTTATGTAAATCAGAAAAGAGTTTAGAAGCTGACTTACTTGGGGGATGCACAAATGGATTGATATTATCTTTAGAGTAAAGAGAGAACAGAACTTTACTGATAAGAGTATTTCTGTCGAGTGCTTTCCATAGCCATTTAGACAGGAGAGCAATATTGAAAGAAGATATATCAATGACCCCCAGGCCTCCTTCATGTTTAGGTTTACAGACTGTGGTCCAGTTAACCAAGCATTTGGACTTAGAATGAAGGATACTCCCATTCCATAAGAAATTTCTCCTGATTTTATCGATATCTTGAATCACCCATGTGGGCAATTTAAAACACGACATATAGTAGAGGGGAATTGAGGAGAGGACAGAGTTAAGGAGAGTAAGTCTGCCACCTATGGATAGGAACTTGTGCTTCCATAGTGACAATTTTCTCTTAAGAGAATCCAACAATGGTTGCCATTCTCTTTTACTCAGAGATCCCCTCTTAAGGGGGAAGACCGAGGTAGGAGAAGGGGAGAGAGCCCACAGAGCAGTTTAAAGTGGCAGCAAGAATAGAGCTTTTGAGAGGAATTATGCCAAGATAGAAAAGATTGGTTTTCTGGGGATTGACATGAAGGCCAAACTGTTTAGCAAAGAGAAACTAAATTGTTTTGAGAGTGGTCATGTCTGATGAGGAGGCCCTGCTGAAGATAATAGTGTCGTCTGCGAACTGGAGGGCTCTGATAGAATTTAACTCGCCCTTCAGCTTAAGGTCAGCAAGATCCCCCGAAGCTGCACTACATGATAACATTTTGTTTAGGACGTCAACAACAAGCAAGAAGAGCAAAGGAGACAAAGGATCGCCTTGCTTGAGTCCCCTGAAACATCTGAAGAAACTAGTGGGGGATCCGTTGACCAGGATGGCTGATTTGGAGGAGTGGAGAAGGTGGTGGATCCAATCGCACCAACGGGGGCCGAAGCCTCTGGCTTTGAGGAGGGACAAGAGGAAATTCCAGTTAACACAATCAAAAGCCTTGAAGAAATCCACTTTGATAGCACACATTTCCTTTTTACCAGATGAGCAGAAGTTAATCATCTCATGCGCTAGAAGGAAAGAATCCAACGTGTATTTACCTGACTGAAAGGCAGATTGAGAGTGGTCCACGAGTAGAGGAAGAAAGGATTTAAGTCTATTAGCAAGGACTTTAGAGAAAATTTTGCAAGAGCTGTTAATGAGGCTAATAGGACGAAAATCTTTAGGGGAGCTTGCACCATCCTTCTTAGGGATAAGACAAATATGGGAGAAGTTTATGTTCTGGAGAGATTGGGGGTTTGAGTGGAGGCCTTGAACGAAGCTAGTAACATCTGATTTGATAGTATGCCAGAAAGTCTGATAGAATAGGACTGGGAGACCATCTGGCCCAGGAGCCTTATCTGGGTGAAGGTCGAAGACCGCTACCTTTATTTCCTCTTGGGAGAAGGGGAGATCGAGGGGAGATAAATTGATAGAACTATGAGGGTATAAAGTATCCCAATTCAGTTGTAGGTTAGAAGCAGGAGGCTGCTGAAAGAGCTGCGAGAAGTAGGTGAGGAAGGATTGTTTGATATCCCCTACTTCAACAATGAAAACATTGTCTTCTATAAGGTGAGGGATGAAATTCTTTCTACGACGAAAAGATGCAGCTTCTAAACAAGTATTACATTTTCATTGATACACAAACAATATTTTTCAAATACAGAATTTAGCAAACCTCAAATTGTATACATAGGGGTACATCTACAATATGTACAGTGAACATGAATTTCACTCGAACACAAAGATAAGATCTGATGGCTAAAAAGCTCTCCCTCCAAACTGAATGTATTTGCACTTTGCTAGGTGCTCTTTATTTTCTTCAATAGAAGTACCCAGATGCGGGAAAATGTCCATTTTACTTCTCTTGGAGTCGAACATTTTTGTTGCGGGAAAATGGCATCTCCTTCTTTTGCATCTCTTGGAAAAAATGTCTATTGGATACCAGATAATGGAGTTATTCATTGGTTTGGAAAGACATCCGAGAAGGAGAAATCGTGAAATGGAGGCCCTATATAAAGTTCAGAAATATCAGAAACTGCAATATATATAATTTACTAAAAATGTGAAATGAAATTAAAGAAACACGAAAAGGGATGAAATGCAATCCCCCTCAAGACTCACAGTTGCAAGATTTTTAAGTGATATATAAAGAAGGTACACAGTGTTGAGTAATATGTCACCGAAGGACTACCAGATGAAGATGGAAAACACGAGGAAACTACTTAAATATATATTATTTGGAGCAGTTCACAAACCTGAATGGACTTCCCTCTTACACACTTCTATGACACGTTCACAACTCAACCAAACAAATAGAAACAAATTGATTCAGCACGAAGATTTCCCCCCCTAATGTTAACTTCCTTTATGAAGTCCCAAATTCTTCTCAAATGGACAAGCAGGAAACCTACTTTAAACCCAAAAAATGAGATACACTTGGTTTACCAAATCTATCCTTCCACTAGGGTGGGAAAAACATTGAATTTAGATGGAACTAATGATTTAAATTCACGCAGAGGTCCAAGATTTGCACTGGAAACCAAGGATTTCTTAACCTTCGCTAAAGAACAATTGAATCTATCCCTTATTTTTTAACCTTTTTTTTAAACAATGATTCGCCTCAGCTGAGCAAGGTTTGTGCAGTAAAAGAAGGAACTCTTTTGTTACATAGTTCATGTGTATTAATATGTTCAGTTACTGTTCAATATTTGCTGATATGGTTATTGGTTAAAGGATGTATGCCAACTTGGTACTTCCATCAACTGGTGAATATCCAAATCCTCAACTTGACGTATTTCTAACCTTCAAGTGTCAAGACTATTCTTTCATGGACTATACTGGTTTGGTTCAGTTCAGTTCATCTAGAACCCACTGATTCAGACCAAAACATCAATCATACCAGCCAATACGATTTGGTTCTGAGGTCTCACATCAGTGTAAGATTTATAACCAAAAGACGAGGTGAGCTTCTCTTATTTATGTCTTCTGTTGAATACAGAAAATAAAGTTAGAGATTACTCTTTTATAAACAAATAAGGATAAAACCTGAGTGCACAAAGGGAGTATCACTGGCCTTGGATAAAAAAATAATATGATCATAGATTTTCAAAAGAACAAAATAAAATAAGCTTATAGAAAAAGCAACTTCTTGAAAGTAGTTAACTGCAAGTTCTGCATTGAAATGGGAAAGGCATGACAAGTAACTAAATACCTTAGCAAGAGAAATCTAAGTTCTAAAAGGCTTTGAACACAAAAGGAATCATTTTAGATAAAAAAAATTGGAAGATAAAAAAATTAAGAAGACTCGTACCTTCTTGTTCATGAAGCAAGTAGAAAGGTATATGAGAAATCATCTTCGAGGCTCCTTCGCTCCAGTTAACAGTACCAGGGTCCTGATCATGCTCAGTTGAAGGCCCCAAAACTGACAAACAAATTGCAGGTTCATTCATTAGACCAAGATAGTCGCAAGCACGCCTCTGTACTCTTCGGTCTGAGTTTTGAGAGCGGGCTACCTGACAACAAAGTCCAAGCTGTTTTATTATATTCTGTGGCAATGCCAGGATTTAGCTTGTAAAAGAAACTTGGCATTTCATTACTAGTGCAGTAACTAACAAACCTTGGCCAGAGATACTCGAGCTCTTGGAAGCAACTCAGCATGGCATGTTGCGAGCTTGGCAATAGCAGTAACCACAAAGCATAAAAGACGAACTTGTGAAGATTTTCCAGATGCCCTGCCCTTAGAACCAACAGTTGATTCCTGGCTCAAGCCCAAGCGGCTTGAGAATGTAAAGAGAATAAGTAAAGAATCACAATATAATGTGCAAAAACTTCTTCATTTTATATGAAAACCTACCTAGAGAAAATATTCTCATGTACAATGTAACGCAAGGAAGTTTTCTTGGTTTTATATGAAGACCTACCTAGATGAAAGATTTTCATAAAGTAGTAGTTCTAGGCTCTCAAAGAGCTCTCGAGCTACATCTTTATAAGATATTCCTCCAGCTCCATGCTCCCCGATTGCCCAACACAAGTGTAATGCCAATTCGGTCTGCATTAGCACATAAAATTTTTCATCAAGATTGACTGCATTGCCAAAATGAACTTCCATAATTTAAATATCAAAACCTGCAGAAAATTAATGCAGAAATGTACACCCACAAATACACGCGCGCGCGCGTGTATATGTTCTATCTTATATAAAAATAGATAGAACACAATGTAGAGCTAGGCTACTGTCTATAACATCCAACACAAGCATTCACCTATCAAAGTAAAAATTTATGCCGATAGATATAATTTACAGTATATAAATTATCTAGAAACAAAAAACTCAAGTGGTTCCAAGTGAACTACTCGTGCATTAAAAGCCCTACGAATCAACACTTTAGAATTTTCATAAAATTGGCCAAGTTATTGTAACTTGATGTAAAGACTGTATGCCTATAAATCTCTTCAGCTATTCACTTCTCAACAATTGCATCTTATTTGATCTGGCCTACTTTGACATTTGTGGCCATGTGTAGTCAGCATCTTTACAGATGGATTCCAAATTTATGCATGGTTTATTGATTATCCCTATTGCTCCAATTTAGAACAACATCACTGTTCTGTGGTGAATAAACATGTGTCAGTGATTGGGCTCATAACTATGTTTATTACTCCTTTATAACTTGTCAACGATTTCACTTACTTACACCTACTAATCATCAGCATTGAAATTTTTACTACACTTCATTTATGCAGTGCATGCGTTCAACTGCAAAAAGAGCGTTCAACTTGTTCCATCTGTTGCACACTCTCTTTATTTCTATTGTTCAACATTGAGCATAAGAGCTATGGTATCTCGAATTCTCCCACAGATAAAAGTTTTGACCGTTTATGGATAATATTGTTTGGCTCTCCAGTCATTAATGCAGTGTGAGTTTCCTTGTCATGCCCACACCTGAGTTTCTTTCCCAAAATCTCTCCCTCATACTCGGGCCATATAGCATCTTTTCCAGTTCTCAATATCTGTGCTCAACCTCAGTATTATACTATATTCTTACCTCTTTTATTAATTCAAGTAGCTAAATTCATATAATTCAAGCTTAATTGCAATGTTTTAAAAAGCATCTGGGCTCCCGTCTAGGCCTAAGAGGTGCCTAGACTGCCTGCTTAGTTTTTGGAGGCGTCAATGGGAGTCTGGCCACTTATCCGGACTGCACTGCATCAAAAGGGGATATATCACTCACTTAGGCTTAGTCATGGATGAAGAGAATGAGCTAAGTCAAAATGGATTGGATCAAATCTCTATACAAGTCCATCTTATGCAAAAGTCAAGGATAGGATTTTGAATTTTTAAAAAGAATCCTTCCTCTATTGGTGCTAAAAACATCTAGTGCCGCTTAAGCACCAGCCTGGATGCCTAGGCTCAATGCGCTTGGTCTGGCGCCTAACGCTTTCCAAAACATTGCTCAATTTTGAATACAAAATGCAGATCAGAGGAAATAACAGAAGCAATTATCTATGAAGATCTTAAAATAGTAATAAATATAGTTTGCCGTGTCTCTAAAGAAAAGAAGGGAAGAAAAAGGAGATGCTATGCTCACGGATCTTTACCTTTGCGGGACTGTCATAAGCTTCTCCTAATCTGTCAACAATAGGCTTCTGCAAGAACATAAAATGGATCGTCAAAAACACCATATTAAATGTTTAAATAAATGGTGTACTTAAAACTTTAATAGAAATATATTAGAGTTCATAATCTAAATTGCAGTAGTCACAATTTTATGAAAATATAACAAGATTTAAAAGTTCATGTACTTAAATTTAAAATAAGAAATTCCCTTTAATAATAAACAGGTAAAATATTTTAGAACCTTGTGAAAGACCCTATATAAAAAATGGTTCCAATATATATTAGACAAGAGTGATATTCCTGCATGTAGGATAAATTTTAGTCGTAATAGTACCTTCAAAAGAGCAATAAATTGAGGAGATCGCTGAAATGCAGCTAACATAAAATCCACAAGCCTCTTCTGGACCTACAAAAAGTTAATTAAGAATCAGGATAATCTGACAGTAGGTAAAGGCTGAATATCCAGAAGGATCATGTTTCATAACATATCCACTAAACATTCTAAAGCAATAACTCGTTTTAAAAGGAAAATAAAGGAATATAACAATAACACGAAGCCCCTAGTTTTGTATGGTTCCCTTGTCCGTTTCTGAACACTTTTTTTTGTGCCCATATATATAAAACTTTATGCATCCATCTTTCAAATACATCCAATCAACTGCTAAAGAGGAGTCATCATCATAATTGCCTAGCTTCAACCTATATTATTGTACTAGACTTTGCACGTAAATTAAGTGGACAGAAGTAGCATCAAATCAATACCTTCCAGTCTGATCAATCATAAGAAATAACTATACACGCTAAGAAAAACAAAGTTTCAGAGTTGAAATTAATCTCACTCGCCTCAAAACAGAAAATTTTGTCAGGGAAAATTGTAGCATTTCGTGACATAAGAATTGGAATCAATGCACATAGCAGAGCTGTAACAACCATAAAATAGAATGTAATTAGTACAAGACCTATGCCAATGTTTTTTAGTAACAATAATTCATAGATGCGAATTACACGATTCAAAAAGACAAGGAACATACAGTCACTGACATCTCTCAATGCAATTGCAAAATACACAGAAAGCAACCTTGGTGTCATATTGAATGCTTGTCTTAGCCTGTCTGATTGAGGAGCATTAATAATGGCAGCTTGTAGCACTGCAGCCATCTCAGGAGAAGTCCAGTGCCTTTCCTGAAATACCACAAATCTGTCAATGTATTCCAATATTGAATATTATTTCCACAATTTATTGATCTTCGGGAATATATGAAGTACAGAGAGGTTAGGAGAAAAATATAACATGGTCTGAAGAAAATGTGACAGGCCAAGTCTTTGAATAGACATGCTTTAAATTAATCACAACAGACTCGCCAGCATGATTTAATATTTATCTTATTTGCAAGAAAAAGTTTAACTGGAGAGTACTGCAGCAAAATTGTTTCCAGGATTCGCAAGGGAAAACAAAAAGAGGAATCTACAGGCTCAAGGACACAATACTTATAATTATGCAAGGATTAGCAATGTCTAAAACTAATACAAAGCAAACATGACAGATATTGAAATGAAAGAGAGAAGCAGGTTATGCATAAAGAACAAGAACTTGTTACAGATCTTCAAAACTATATGTTAAACTTAACCGTCCCAAATCCCATGTTCAGTGCTATGCCCACTTAAAACGTGATTCAGTATTTATTACAGTCATGAAGACAAACAACCTTGGTGAAATACTCCAACCTATATACTATATAGAATTCAGTGAAATATGAAAATGTGCACTGGCTAGACAACATAGCTCAAGAACCCTCATCCAAATACTCAAAATCTCTCTTTATAAAGAAAAAATCATTTGAAAGCAGACAAGATAGAGATTATAACTAATAATTCGAATTCCACCAAGATTACAGGCTAGAAGAGAGTAGGGCTACAAAATCTTAGTTACAGCAGCTGGCAGAACAAGCAGTGACATCCGAAGAAAGTAAACTTAGTACAATATGAATGACACTCAATTATTTGTAGAAGCTTAGGATAAAAGACTCATTTTACAGCTGTTCCTACTGCCATGGAAATTGTTCTGCCACAGATTGATTGTCACTAATGACATCAGTATAGAAACAGAAATTGTGCAGAGAGCCAAGATTACATGATTATGTATGTCACTAGTATTAGGTCAAAGAGATTGAGATACGGTAAGCCCATCGTTCTCATCTTTTAAAATCAAGAAATATTGGGTCTGCAAAATCTATTATATAGTTATCATCAGATCCGGAGTCAAGATTATATGATATATGCATGTCACCAATATTAGGTGTAAAGAGATTGACATACAGCAAGCCCATCGTTCTCATCCTTTAAAATTTCAAGAAACATTGGGTCAGCAACATCTATAATATTGTTATCATCAGATCCAGAGTCACCCCCTCTATCTTCGATAGATGATCCAGTATAAGCTTCATCCATTAGTGCAAATAACATCTGAAGTAAAAGATCATAAACAACGTTAGAACATTTATTAAACAAGACAAGCAAACGATAGGAATATCTAAACTCACCTCAGGAGCTGCACTCTTCTGAATCGAAGCTATACGGCTTCCAATTAGAGTCCCAGAGCTCTTTTCCACCTTCTCCAATGCAACCACCAGTACTATTTTAGACAAATATAAAATAAGTCAGAACATGGATAGCAGAAAACCAATAGTGAAAATAAACACGTTAGATATAGACATGTCATGGTAAAAAGAGTCATGAAAGCACACATATTGTTTCAAAGATCATGTGGTGATGCCGTCAACGAATAGGATGAGGATGCGGATCATATGCTGCTCCTAGTAGAAGTCGTAAGTTCTGTCACTCCGGTTCACCCCTAGTTTACAACCATGTTAAAGGTATTTCGAGGATGCAGTTATTCAGATCTATTTTTGATGATGCAAAAATTTTAATCAAATGGATCTCAGACTAGATAATTTTAGCACCATTATTTCTTTTAATTTGGTGAATGATTATGACTTTTTCTACACGTTTATTGCATGTCATTAAAATCTTTTCCCATTACAATAAAGCATCACATTACAAGAAACAGCACTAGGCGTTTGCTGTGAATTGATGTCTTTGATTCCAGAAGCTTAATCCAAGAAAAATCATAGTTATGATGTCAATTTTAGAAAGGCTAAGGAATGTGTTAGAAAGAACATGTCTATACGGCAGTAGCCAAGAGCAAATGCTGAACTTATAGTACAATAAACTTCCAAATTATTTTTTGATATGCCAACTATTAATTTTTTGACAAGGGACTCCAAGAGAAACCAGATTACAACCTAAACTAATTGAAATCTTTGTTCTATCTGATGGTTGGAAATTTTATGGCTGGAGAAAATTCTCCTTGATATGCCTTTGGAAAAACAGATGGCATCAAGCTTAGGCATTACATGAAACAAGCAATCAGGAAAGAAACATGTTAATTTCTTTAACGGGAGTAAAAAAGAACTCACTTGGCAAATCTACAATTGACGGGAATAGAGGAAGAAATGAGCCGGTTGACATCATTGCTGGAAGAACAGTAGAAAATGATTTCTCTAACCTAGAAATAAGATAAAAACATGACATTAGATGGAACAATTATACTGAAAAAAATACATCCGATCCAGTAATTTAGGTTGAAGATCTAAAACAGCCTTAATAAATTGATGATAGAAGCAAAGAGAATGAAGATAAATTAGGGCAATCTTTTGCATTGGATAGACAATTCATTAGGTCTTTTTTTTAATAATAAATCACACGTTTACAATGAAGTTATTATAGCAATGAGACATATCACTAGCTGTTGAAGCAACTTCACTGTCAGAAAATAGAAAGGTAGAACATACTTCTCACCATTCCATGCAATCAACTTCAGCAGCAATGGAAAGAACTGCAGATAAATATTTGAAGTAAAAGATGAGTAGCATGTCAGACGAGTAGCAAATTAAGACAATATTATTTTCTGAAAAACAGAAATTCGTAAAGTATTTGTCAGAGTACAACAGCCTTCAGCATTGTGCAAGAGAGAAGGCGACCTAAAGTCTGAAAGCAAGCCCGAAATAAAGGTTCAACAATCGGCAGGGATATTCCCACCATAGTTTTGTCAACTATATCACCCAAAAAAAACGTTTGGCCGTTGAAGCCTACAGAAAAGCAACCACTTCATATCAAACCTGATACCGATTATCCAGCAAAGGTGATCCCAAATTTTAGGTAGTTGTTCGTAAGATTTTACTTGAATAATAAACATGGTGCACATGGGAGGTGGGTACAGTTTGATTAGGATATCCTTGACAAGGATGTTAGCTCTACAAATGTAAACTAATTGATGGAATGAGTAGCATAAAAAATAATATACTTACATTTATGACTTATGGCATATAAATGGTGTAAAAATGAATAAACATTCTTGAGAATGCAATTTAACTCTTAAAACGAAAGCTTTTGCAGCACATTGAACGAAATCATTGTTAAGTTCATTCTTTTTCTGTCTACTGGATGCATGCAATTTAACTCTTGAAATTGAGATTTCAACCTATATGTTCATTCTTTTTCTGTCTACTGGATGCATGCAAGCAAAAAAAACATGTGGGCTCTTTGTTTACAGGAATTCTGGATCATGTAAATTATGTTCAACAGTACTTCACCACAGAATAAGAAAAGATTTAAGCACAAAATGTATGGTGAGACATGATTGAATGGATATGCATAACTATCATGAAGCCATTTGGATGAAGCTTCCCTTGGTAGCACAATCATCAACACAGTTTATGCCGCCTTTTTCTCCATAATATATAATAATATGGATACTTCATAGGCATGTAACAACATAAAATGTTCATATTCTATTAATGAACATACCTGCGGAAGCAAGGTAGGAAATGAACTGAGGAACTTTGTCTTATTCAGGTTAAGGAAATTGAGGGTGGCTTCTGCCACAACAGGGTCTGCAAACTCTCTGGAAACACAACAACAAATCAAATGGTGACAAACAACTAAGGCAGACAGTAATTAAAGGGACTATCAGTAGTTAGTTTATTAGAAATCAACCTTTTGATTCTGAAAATTAAACCAATGATAAGCATATATAAGAAACAATTATAACAATATTATAAAGTGAAACTGGCCCCAGCATAGATGTGTCTTATATCAATTGTACCTATAAGATATCATTTCTTACTGAATTACATAAATGGCTTTCTATGTACTTGCAGTTATGCTTCATAGACAGAAGTAATATGTATATCATTAGCTACAATATAAGTCCTCAATCAGTTACATGTCATCCAATAAATGTCATGCTCTAAACATGTACATTTTAATAGTGTCATCTTCTGTTATCATTGGGCTTCGTTTGGATACCATGGTGTTTTACTTGTTTCCATAGTGTTTTTACCAAAAACAAAACACCATGCGTTTGGAAACCATGGTGTTTTTTTGAGCTAAATCATCCTCAAACCAAAAACACAACACTTATTTTAAACACCTAAAAGGTGTTTTAAGTTTGGTGTTTAGATTTTGAGTTTGAGAATGTGTTAATATAATATCTAACATAATATATTAAAAGTAATACTATACTATACTTTACTATATTATAGTTAATCTAATATATTAGTAATATTTATTAAATAATATAAAAATATAATAAATAAAATATCTTATATAACAATATAATAACAAGTTAAATACTAGTATTTAATATGTTAACAATGTATTATATAATAATAAAATATAAATAAACTAATAAAAATAATAAAAAAGTTATTGATGATAAATAATGATATAATAATATACTACGCAATAGTATAATCGCTATAATATTATTAACTTTTTAATAAATAAACTGTAATAAATTAATAATTTTAAAATATTATATAATAGTAAAACATTTAAAAATAAAATAACAATATAATAGTAATATTATAATATATATTGTATAGTAAATGTAATATAATATATAAAATATTAATATATTATATAATACATAAAATAATTTATTGCTAACAAATATTAATGTAAAAATAATATATACATAATATAATAATATTTATTTATATCATAAATTATTAATATATTTTAGAATTACTAGTTAATAAACTCTAACATATTAAAAGACCATAATATATTTACATAATGATTAGTACATTATACACATATTAATCATATATTAATTATTAATAACCAACCTATCAAATAAAAATAACAATCTATACGTAATATTATAAAATATATAACATTTATAATAAAAATTCATCTATTTATTTATTTTATATGATAATTTTTTTAAAATAATTAACTATAAATAAAAAAAACACACATAAAACACACTAACAACCCTCAAAAAAATATTATAACACTCTCTAAAATATTTTCCAGTAAATAAGTAACTATCACATTATATATATTAATAATAAAGAATTCACTCAACTATTCAACGAATATTTATAAAATATATAAACATCACTAAATAATATACACAATTAAAACACATAACTCTAGTAATTATACGGAAAAAAATCACAAAAATTAACATATTACATAAATTTATTTGAAAAATATGTATAATTAATTATAGCTAATATAAAATCTATAATGTACAAACCCTATTAATAACCTAAAAATGGTAAATAACATATATACAATTTATATATATAGCAAAATAAAATATTAACTCTATCAATAAAACTCTCAATATGGTAAAACCTAAAAAATTATTAAAAACATTTAACTTTATAAATACCTAATATTCTCCAATACTAATTATACTATATATATATTAAATCATAAATATGTTTAATCAATCCCACCACTAACAGTCCTTATAAATGGTCTAAAATACTTAGTGTTGAGACCAAAAAATCCCAACTATTGGTGTCTTTAGAACATAGTCTCAATTTTTCAAATTCATGGAAAAAACCCACTCAGTAAACACCCCATTGGTAAATAGTATATTTTACCAACAAAAAAACTCAAAAAAGGAAAAAAATCTAATATACCCAAACGATACCGCCCCAACCAGTACTAAATGGTTCCACAAATACATAGTGCCTAGCATCTTATAGATTACTACAAATAGATTACCTAGT